TTTATTTATTTATTTATTTATTTATTTATTTATTTATTTTTAATTTGGGCAGTATCGTGTGAATATGTCAAGACTAATTTAAACAGACATATCCTTTTAGGGATTAAGCTGGAGATGTTTCTTCTCATATCACACCAACAACAAGCAGCCGTTTCTACAGGTCCTACTATACTACTCACTGTATGTGACAGATGTGGCCTCCTTTTTGCTGATTAGTATTGGGGGTGAGAGGCAGGAATCAGTGTCAGGGAGATTATAGTTCAGAATGTGTTGTGCCAACTGTATTCAAGGTGTTACTCCAGACACATCAAATACAAAACATTGTTTAATCCTCACCATGACCCTCTGTGATAGATAATATTAATTCTGGTGGGTAATAAACTAAGGCATAGAGACAGTCAGATCTTGTCAAGATCATATAGTCAATGAGTGCTGGAACCGTGACTGGTACCGAGGTCTGCCCGACTCCCTAGAAAGAGCTCTTCCTACTACACCCTGGTTCTTGCTCCAAGAGTTCACAATCTGCTGGAGGGGAAACACATATATAAATAACTCATAAAAGACAGTATATGACAAGTGCTAAGTGGAAGGAAATGCAGGATGGTTTTCAAATATAAAAAAAGATTTGATATCTTGATTTATTCATTGGTTTTGTAAAACATTCCAAATAAAAGGCATAATTAAGTAAAGATATATAAGCAAGAATGGATGAGGACCATGGAAAGTCTACTGGAAGCAAGAAAAACTAATGACTTGACCATTTATCTAAATTGAGTAAGACAGCTATGTCAGTCAGTTTTGCGGTCATACATAGTTTTAAATTCGTTTTCTTTTATTTACAAATGATGTATGTATCTTTGTATTTACTACTGAATCTCTTTGAGCCTCATTTGTAGCTGTAAAATGAGGTTAATAATAGCAACCTCACAGTACATTTGAAAAATGATGTCAAGTGCTGCATAGAGGACCTAACACAGTAGGTACTGAAAAATTGGAGCTTCTATTATCATGATTGATTGGATTAAAAAGGCAGTTTGAAAGATTTAAGACTTTATTATCAAGTAGGAGTAACAAATAGTTTATTAAAAGTTAAGAAGTGAGGTTAGAATAAAGTCTTTTATATCAAGGACTTTTTTAAAATGTAAAATGTTTGAACAATTCAAAGATGATGTCAAAATCTGAAATATAACTTCTAAAGATTGTGGTGAAGAGGGATTTGAAGAATTTTCAGACAAGACTATTAGGAGGCTCATCAAAATAGATGTCAAATTCCCTGAGAATAATGGCAGACATTTTAAGGAGACGGGTAGCTTGGTGCTAAAATCATTGAGAAAGCTGCAGAAATGTCTCATTAGCCAGAAACGATAATTAAGGAGGCTGAGGAAAGGTTTACCCACAGCCTAGAATCACATTTCTCCAAGGGCTGAGGATCTCCTACAGTAAAGTAGCCAGCAATTCATGCCAACATTTTAGACTCCAGGATCCCACCCTGTATCAGATGAATCAGGATCTCTGGGGATGATTTCTAGAAACCTGAATTTTTAACAAGCTCCCTAGGTAATACTTTTGCATGCTAAAAAATGATACTTCAGCTAAAGTTTGAAAACTACATTTCTAGAAAGATATCTCGGTTGCACTGAGAACTCTGCCTGAGGTGATATCAGTGAAGGGATGAGGAACATGAGAACAGAAAGCAGGCAAAGGGTATGGTCTAGAGAGTCAAGGGAACAAAACAAACAGCCCAAACCAGAGCACGCTGCCTTGTCTGACTCCATCAAGGCCGACAGCATCCCTGGGAAAGAAAGTCAGTCCTGCCTAGGGCAAACTTCTGAGGGATTTCTTTTCTGAAGGATAGAATGATGGATGACAAGGAAAGAAAAGAATGGAGTACTGAGAATATAAATTGTCTTACTCATTGGCTTACATACCAAAATTTAAAGAGTAGTTGGGAACTTTAAACCTAGTACTATATGAGATCACATTTAATTGAATATCTACATTTTAGGTGTTAAGTACATCTTAGAATCTTTCCTTTTCATTTTTATTCATGCCTTATATAGTGTATGGAGTACCTCAATGATGACAAACTGTCATGCTGCTTGACGTCAGGCTTTTCCTGAACATGTAGACAGCGAGGAAGCAGTATAAAATGCCTAAAAAGAAGCATTTAATATTGGGGGCACGGGTAGAGGATCACTAGTGCAAACATAGGTTTGTCTGTTTTGTAGTTTTGTTGTTGTTGTTGTTTTTGATTGTTGGCAAGTTTCTTTATTCATGCTGGATACTAATCCCATTCATTAAAAGAGATTTCATGTAGACATCATGAAGCAAGGCTTATACCTCCTCAAATACACAGTCTTCTGGTACAGATTTCATCCACAGCATAGCTCAGGAACAACAGAAGTACTAAACTTAAAGAAGACAAAAAGCACTAAACTGTTATGTTGCTTATACCAATTTACAGCAGTTTTGAAATGAGAGCTTGATATGGCAAAGTGGAGGAATAGAAATTGAATGTTGCTTCCTCTTCCACAATGCAGTCACATTCACTCATAACTTTGGGTATTTGTTTAGGTAATGGATAGGAGACTGAAAGAGGTGAAAAATGGAGAGGGCTGAAGAAGGAAAGACAGAATTGCTACATTGGAATACACTGTGTGACTTTTTTCCTCCTCTGGGCTGTCTTTGATCATCATGATTATCAATATAATAAAACTTACTACCTGGTACCGGCTTTATCCATTTACAGGTCTTTCTATACCACTAGTATATGTGTTCCCTAGAGTCTTTGTCGATTTAGCTTTATTGATATTTGCATTTATTTGTAATATGTATTTCTATAGCACTTGAAAGGAAAACAGATTAACTACTTAGTGCCTGCCATATGCCAGGCATGAGACTAGGTGTTTTAATACGCATTAGCTCCTATAATCTGAAGTGTAAATATGTAAAGTGCTTAAGCACAGTGACTGGCACACGGTAAACACTCAAAAATGCTAGTTAAAAACTGATCATCATTGTTTATGTTAACAGCCTTCTGGGGTACCTGTTGCAATTGCCGTTTTATACCTGCAGAAAATGGCGCTAATCAAATTAAACTGGCTTGAGCTGGTTAAATTAAATGGCTTATATAGTTCGGCTGGGATTGTACCCAGCTGTACTTAATTTCAAAATGTGTTTGATCTTCATGATCTTAGTTCTCTCAAACTGGGAGGGGGAAAGAAGGGTGGATAAAAATTATCTTTGAAAATGTTTGTTTTCCCCACACCACTCTGCAGTCTTGCCATGTTATGTTCATTAGCACTGTCCGTAGGTATGGGCATTGGAGAATATGTTTTGCACTCTCACTCCCACCCGTTGGTGATACATGTACCCTTCCGTGATCTCTGACAACCACTTACACGATGACTCTCCATATGCAACTTTTAAAAGGCTTCCAATTAAACTATTTTATTTCAATATGTTTTAATTCTTAAGAAACTTTAAGAACTATGTTTTGCTCATTTCATTGTCAAGCCTACTTTTTATCTGTTTAATCTGTAATATGAAATTTAAACCTCTATGAGTAGATTCCAAAGAAGTTATACTTTTTCAATGACATGACTTCAACATAATCAAAAGAACCCTATTTTTTTTTGTCAATTTTAATCTATTTTAGCATTGAGAAGAAATATCTTGGTCCCTAAGACTAATATCTCACTTTGAAATTGATTAGATTTCATACGTGAACAAAGATAGTCAAAAGAATGCTCTGTTCCATGGCAAGGCAGTTGCAATATTTAGATGAACTGAAAAAAAGAGAAAAAAAAAAAGAAAAAAGGAAAGAAAACAATGAGGGAGGTTTTCTGAGATGTACCTTCCTGCTTATTTTCTCCCTGAAGTTCCTCTGGGCCCAGCAGCCATCCACTGTACTTAATTCTCCAAATGAAACATCTTCTAAAAAAATCTGCATTTTTCAGAACCAGTTGTGAAATTTAGTTATTATAAA